CAGTAACGATTCTCAATATATAAATGTCGTGTTCATTTTGTCGATTCAATTTATGATTTTAACCAGACTTAAACTTCTATTTCAACATCAATGTCCTCCTCGTGGTCGGAATCTAACGGCTGCTGAGAGCAAAAAAGCACAGCCACTTCGAAACAAAATATGTTCTAAAAGAAAATAAATTCCCATTGCTGGTATCATTATTTCCTTAAATTGACATCGACGTCTTTTAATATTTTGAGCTTTAAGGGCGGCGTCTATTCGTGGGCGGCGTCTATTCAAGTAAATACGGTAGTTCCCTTGGCAACCGTCAAGTCAGTGCCGAAATCATTTTTTGAAGCTTGTCATCTTTAAAGCCTTTAAAATTTCCCCAGAATTTTTGAAGGAAAAGGGTTAAACACTATAGAATATCTTTCCTCTAGCCTATCAACATAAATGATCATTTGGTACGTGCTTTTTCATTCAGTATTACATTTTCTATTCTATTTAGGCAAGACTAGTATTTTGATATCGACTAAAATAACCAGCACGCTAGTCAGATTTCAAAGCTTACAGCAGAAACCGTTGCATCGCGACTTCAATGTTCGAAGGAAATACTTGGGATTTAGGTTTTTCTGCGACTTTGGGGCGGAGCTTGATACTAATCAGCCAATGATTGAACGAGTTTTCGAAAAGCTCCGCCCCTCAGATTGACAGAAAGAACAAAATCCAAACAAACTTCAAAACAAAGAGGTCGCGATGCAACGATTTCAACTGTAATTTGTTTTATATTCTAACAAATGTTTAAACATTTAACAAATACCCTTTCATACCTGCAGCAATGATACGCAAAGAATATTGAAGTGAGGAAACCCTAAAAAAACGGAATAGTTAATGACTCAAAAAACGATTTACTCAATATTACAAGCAAGATTTTAAGCAAGTGCGCACATATATGGTTAATTGCATGGTACTAAGGGACTGTGCAATAATTACCAGGAAGGGGGCGTAAAACCAGACTTCTCAAGCAGCAAATTAGTCAGAACCCCCCCCCCCGAACTATAAAAATAACTTCGAACTTGAACTAAGCCCCCCCCTCCTAACACTATTAGCCTTGGTTAAGCAAGTGAGTGGAGTCAACTGCTGCAACGGAAAATTCACTGAAGACGAACCCAGAGGTGGCTTATTGGGACTTTCCATATGGA